AGTGCTACGTATAGTTGGCCGTGGGAGAAAACATCCTCGGGGAGATGAACGCCAACTTTATTGAAGGATTGTCCCTGTGCTTTATTGATAGTCATGGCGAAAGCCACTCGAACAGGGAATTGTCTTCGGCGAAGTCTGAAAGGAGCTTTCTTGTCCCAATAGTTGTCGATTCGCGGAATGATCGCGAGCTGTCCTCTTCTCTCTCCACAGATGAATCTGCAGCCAATTGTGAAGCGTCCTAGTGTTTCCACCGTCATTCGAGTTCCGTTACAAAGTCCGTTTACCACATCGAGATTTCTAAGTAGCATGACGATCGCCCCTTTCTTTAGACGTAATTCGTGCGGCGGCATTCCTGTAGGTGTGAGAGAGTTCAGGTATTCCTGCTGGAAAAGCTGCTCGCTCTGTCCCTCAGAATAAAGGGCTTCATCGATACTCTTGTAAGTGCGTTCGTCTTGTGGTCGCTCCACAGAAAGGCGTTCGAGTGCAGCATCGTTGAGGCGCTGTACGTGCGCATTTTTCGGTGCTAATATGGCAGACTCGCAGAGTTCTGATGTACTGTTAGGGTTGAGAGTCTCTCCGAAAATCTCCGTAACAATATCAGAATAGCACATCATTTCTTCAGGCACCTGGATACATCCATTGGCATCATTACTGTCGCCATTACCAATTCCGAGGAGACGTTCGTGCCAATCATTCTCAGCTTCCCTTGCTCTCATGTTGACTGCCAAGCGGTGGACAGAAGAACAACGACCAAAGAATGGATTGGTGAACACAGGCCTCAACGAAGTCCTCCCTTTGTCCATGCTCGACGACTGGCAGGACCTGACGAAAATCTCCGCCAATAATCATGACCTTTCCCACCAAATGGCTCATTGTTCTGCATAATATCTTTCAAGAGAGCGTCAACGGCTTCTAAGGCAGCTTTTGGTGCCATAGAGATCTCGTCCCAAATGATCATATCTGTTTCCATCAGCTCTCTAGCCTCTTTTTGTTGGCGTTTCATGGAGGAGCTTCGATTTCCGTCTCCAATATTCAACTTGAAATATGAGTTCACGGTTCGTCCTCCTGGCAGGAGGTTGGCAGCTATTCCTGTCCAAGCGACGCACGCAACCTTACGCCTTTTTCCGATGGCAATGTTGTAGACGGTGTTGTATAGGTAAGTCTTCCCGCTTCCTCCGGGGCCGTCTATGAAAATACACCGATGCTGTGGTCTGTCCAAAGCGCCTATAATATCATCTGCCGCTGCTTTTTGCCTTTCGTTTAGAGTGTCATAGCGAAGCAGGCCGATTCTTTCGTGTTCTTCATGATTCACTGTGACAGGTAGTGCCACGGGGCGTTCTGCAACGGGAGGATGAACTAATCTCTCTGAGGTCTTTTCCTAAAAGTGCCATACGATCGAGGATGTCGAAGTAGGCCATGGCCTTTGCGCGTTCACGGTCGATCTCCTGGTGCACGTAGTCATCTGACATAGCATCGGCGAACTCGTTCCATAAGTCCTGTGCTTGAACAACTTCACAAAAGCAGAGTAAGCAGGCAAAGAAACTCCGGATACATGCTGCGGACTGGTACTGAGCAGCCTCTTGCAAACTTTGACGAAAATATCTGTCATCGTCCAAATAGCCTGCATTTTTCGCTGCTTCTGCAAAAGTGCTATATGTGATTCCGTCCACTGTCCGCAGATCTTCAAAGGACATCTTGCCTTTTGTGTTTAGAAGAAGTATTCTGAGGCAGTATCGTTCGTTGTCTCGAGGAGAAACAGTGAACATCCTTCCGATCTGTTTTCCGGAGCGTTTTCTAGGGGACCAACCACGACGTGGTTCGAAAGTGAAATACTCAGGGAGCTGATAGTAGTAAAGCTCCCGAGCATCAATTGCAGACTCAGTCCTTACATTTCCATCCTGGGCGTATTGCCTGTTGAGCTCGAAATACGCTGTGAGCGTGGTATAGGTCTGATGAGCACGGTCTAGATAGCGTTGTTCTTGTCCCGGCACGAAATGGACCGTTTGGAAGTCAGGAAGATGTACAGCTAATCTATAAACCGTGTGCGACTTCTCTTGCATTGTAAAGCCGAAGATTCTGTACATACTTTGAGGCGCACATACGTAGCGAGTGTTCAGATGTTGTTTAATTTCATCCAAATTCGCGTTTTCATCTGCATTCCCATCGCTTTCAATATTGATGCGGGCCCTATCTGGTCCTTTATAGATGTACTTATACTTCGATAGGTTGTTTGCGAAACTTGGTTGGCAGTGGGTATCGATCTCTCCACCATGCAAATGGCAGCAGGCATCATTGCCGCTAGGCTATTTACTGATTCGGCGGCGGTCTCGGGTAACATGCAATGAACGTTTTTTGTCCTTCTCTTGTTTGTGTGTTAATGTTCCGTGAGGGTGTGTTATAATTTGCTAGCGAGAGAGTCTATGATAGCGCACGCACTAATGTAAACATCGGCGGGTATGCTGTTATGCGTCTATAAAGTGTAGGTCTATGTATCGTGATCGAGGTACAACGAAAACTGCCGAAGTTTATTGTACTTTTCCTTAAAATTACGAAATTTTTCTTGAAATTCACGAAATCGATTTCTCCTAAAATTACGAAATCTTTCTTGAAACCACGAAAGTTAATTGTCACCCTTTCCCGAAATCACGAAATCAAGCAAAGTCCAAAGTACTCATCGAAATCAACTGCCAATTTTCCCCAAAACCAGGAAATCAAGCAGAAGTGAACTATTCATACATGTGCATTGTACGTTTACCCTAAGTAATTAGTGATTTGTGTCGTGGGGTTCCGGAGCAGCAGGATGTGGATGGTCCGTGTGGAGTACGTAGCAGTTCATGGTGTGCAGTGTGCCTTCTAGTGGTGTGAGTCTCGCATCGATGGTTTGCTGGCGTTGTAGCAGAATGGACGTGACCTGATGGAGGTGTGCGAGTTCTGCAAATGCTCGATTAAACGTTTCCCGAACGGTCATCACGGGGGGGAGGGTGGTTGCTGTGCGTTGTCGTTCATCCTAAAGGTGTTACTAAAGTGAATTTATTGTAAATGGGGGTGTTGACTTAAAGAAAGAGGTGCATAGTCCTAATTGACCGGACGGGTCAGCCATCCGCGCTGCGTTCGTTTTCTCATGTTTTAATTAATTGATGACCCCCATGCTCTAGAGAGAACCCACTCGCGCTAAGGAAAGAGGGAAAAATGGCTGTGGAGACTCTCACCTCTCCTTCTATACCCAGTATGTCGTCGGTGATTCAAATCTCAAACTTGGGTAATTAAACGTTTATCTGGAAGTACCAAAAATAACAAGGAACTAAACTATGAAGCTCAGCTCACCAAGACTTTTTATGCAGGCTGGTATGTGCAAGAGATATAAACATGATAAGCAAATGTTGTGCGAGAAACCTTTACAGTTGCTCAGATCAGCCTACTGATAACGATATTGAAGCTTACAAGACTATTCAGTACAGTAGAATGAGTAAAGTATAATGTTCATAAAGGTTACAATAATGATAATGTAACAATGGTAAATAGAGCGAGAGTCTCTATACTCCCGGGGACACGATAACTGCCAGCTTCTGGATCCACTGCTCAGCCCTCTCTCTTGCCTCCTTCTCAGGTACGATTCGACGATGATGAGGAGCTGCGACGTCCATCACGAGTATCGTCTGGTCGTGTGCCTTCTCTCGCCCTCTCGCGTCCTTTGTCATGCTCCGCTGTCGCGCTTCCTTCCACGTCTCCTTCTGTGTTCATCGTCCTGAGTGTGGTTTCCTGTCCGACGGCGGCGATCCTCGCGACCACGATTGACTCCTGCCACTTCACTATGTCTGCGGACAGGGAGCTGTCGTCACCGCAGGGGCGAGCTGGTCAACTTTGCTCGCGGCAAGGTGCAGAGTTCGGGATCCTTGCAATAAGAGTTCCTTCAGAATGGTCCCAGAAGCTCGTCCTTTCTTAGGTGGAATATCGCCGGCGTCTTCTGTCGACGAAGATGACGATGACGAAGATGAAGACGAATTTCGTTGACGTTTTGGGGCGGAGGTCGTCGAGCCAATGTTCTTCCTGGTACGTCAACGGTCTGCTGTTGAGTGTTCCTTCTACTTCTGTCAGAAGAGTCTCAAGTGTCTCCACGTGAACGACTTCTCTTTTGATGACTTTGTATAGGGAGTGCTTCACAGACTTGATCAATCGCTCGTAAAAAGCTCCCTGCCACGGAGCATATGGGGTGATTGTAATGTAATGTAACAACGGTAAATAGAGCGAGTCTCTATACCCACCTCTAGGGTAGCTCGGGTAATTAAAGCCCTGATCTCTTCAAGAATGCGTAAAAAGCGTTCTACAGCCATCAACATTCCTACAGTACAGATATTACACTGCCTTTACTATGATGTTAGTTAGTATTCTCCTTGGTCCATATTTTAAATCGTATCTGTAGTCGATATTTTTGAACAAATCCAGGCAAAAAGTCATTGGTCGATCATACACCCCCAGTTTTTGGTACCTCCCCGAATATCTGCATCTGACCAGATCTTCGTCTACTTTCCACTGCTTGTGTTCTTGACTGGGTTCTAGGTCTTGAATAACTCGTTCCACCCAGCGCCAATAGTTCTCATCCCATTCGAAGGTCAGATGCAGTCCCGGAGTTAGTCTGCGGTGAGCTGTCCAGAAGCGGTTCCTCCATTGCGCTCTCTGCGAACGCGTCCGCCGATGTTCTTGATGTTCTTGTTTTCTCCTGAGCCTGCTTGGCTCTTCGTTCCTCTAAAAAAGATTGAATGCCCGCAATTCCTGTTTGGGCAGCTGTGAAGTAATTCCCAGCCAGCAGTTCAGGCAAGGCGGCTTGTGCTCCTGCCAACAACCACTGCCACCAGGGTCCGGCCAGTCTCCCGATATGATTTGGTCATTGATTTGGCTTCCCGGGGGCGCGCTTGTCCTGGTGACGACCAAGGCCTGGTCCTTATTGTATCGTAACTTACGAGTCACACATAGGACCATCCCGCTCAGTTCGTGACCTTTCCTCATTTCGCGCTGACTTAAACGGGAACCATCGTCCTGGACAGAGCTGACGCTTTGTAGACACACGGCTAAGTTTGTCCAACCTATTCTGGCTTGAGTCACGGCCGTTTCGAATTCGGTCGTTGATGTGGCTATCACTGTACTGCTGCTAACTTGCCCCAGTATACTGGGAGCGGAGCAGTGACTGCCAGTGCGTCGCTTTTGAAGCTCGAGGCATCTATAGACCTGGCCAGATGGTCGCGATGGCCAGGGTGGAATAAAGAAAGATGGTACGAGTTGCTGACGACTGACAGGGGTACGGTGGCCTAGGGACGGTTGACACCCACATTACAAGAGAATACATCCCAGCCATACGAGTATCTACGCAATCGAACATTCGAGGCAGTTCACCATGGGAAAGGTTATACTCGGTGTTGATTCCATCTAGCACCAGGAAAAAAAGAGCTCCAAGCCCAATATAGGTTTGTAAGCGTGAGTCACTTGACAAAGATGACATTGAGGGTCACCGGCATTAGCCGTATGACCTGGGATGAGCAAACCAATATAACCAAGACACTGCCTTTACTGTCATGCCCTGGTCACCTCAGTGACGATAATGGCGATCTGACTAAACATGTTCAACTACTACATAATACATCAACCACGGAATATAAGGTGCGTTAAATACGCGAGAGTAAAGGAAAACGACAAAAAATCAAAATAGGTATTTTATGCAAAAACCCAGAGCAATTGGGCATTCATAGGATAAGCTATCGAGGCCAGTAGAGATTGCTGCCACTGGGACTTCTCGTCACAGACGTAGCAACCTCGAACTTGGGTAATTGAACTTTATTCTTCGATAACAGTCACAAATAATGAGGAGAAATGTATTACGGTAGTGAAGCTGAAAGTGAACGTGAATAAACAGTACAAGCGATAAGCTCGGCCCTATTCTATGCACCAGAAAGGGGGTGGATCCCGAGCTGGCATTTGAAGCTGCAGATAGTGCACTATGTTGAAAGTTCATGCTACTGATCAGCTAACTTAGAAGAGCTTACAGAAATGACTCATCATTAAAACAATGAAGAAGGAGGATAGAGAAAGAGTTTAACTTAAATGAATTACATGTAAGAAAAGTATAAAAAAGAGAAGTTTTTCTTTATATCGAACCTGAACCTACGTGCCAGCTCTTTGCGCCATTAGGAGCTAGAGGGACACTCGGACTCGGGTGTGCTCATGAGACTTACGTCTCCAAGATCGTCGCTGCCACAAGATTCTCTGCTCCTGTGGCCCCATGAAGCCGCGGACAAACGTGACCAACTCTTGGTTTCCAGGTACACTTTCAGCCTCACGTAGATCAGCTGCGATGTTTCACCGATATACTCATCTCCATAACTAGAACAGGTGATCTTGTAGAACACTTCTGATAGGGTGCAGTCACCC